CATGTGGTTAATGTGAGGATGCCCTGATAGCGATTAGGGCACTTCTATATATATACTTTTTAATTCGTTTCAGTTCTTTTATGCACCAAAAGCACTTCATGGACAATAGGTTGAACATCTGGTGTGCCATGCTCTATTAACCTACAAAAAACATATCAGAAGCAAGAAAGAAACCCTAATTTGAAACAAAAATTATACATTATGTAGAACAAATCCTCATTCCTAATACCACCACCATCCTACCGAATTAGTTACAATGTCTAAGAAAGAGAATAAATGGGATGTTGAATTGGATACGTACCTATAAAATCTCCTGTCAAAGCTTATTCCCTTTACAAATGAAAAACATAGCAATGGAAGAGTGTGTAATAGCCATTTCATGTCCAAATGAATATCAGAATAAGGGAAGAGTATATTTTTTTTCTTAGTTTAATGACGTTAATAGTGAGGTAGATAGACGGTGGTGCTCCAGTGATTATAGGGAGAAAAGGAGAAGGATGGATGCCTTGGAGAAGTGGCGGTGAAGATGAAAACAGGAGTTCTCTTTTCCTTTTTGCCAATTTGATTTCATAAAAAAAATGAGCGGAACGCCATAACCAGAGAGGAAATTAGGAGCGGGACATGAAAAATTAGAAATTTTCAAAAAGATATAGAGTCACATAAATATATGTGCCACTAAAAGGATAATATAGTGGCACAAAACAAAATATGTCACTAAAACCTTGTGTCACTAAATGTAAATTTGTTTGTAGTGTCTTTCGGTTCGACTGGATGTATATGCTTGTCAACCTTATTGAATACAGTTTCTAGTTATAAGTACAATTGATCCCAAATTATCCTCCCTCGTGGATATTTGCCACATAAAAAATTAATTAACAATTAAATTTCTAAAAAATATTAGTAACGATAAGTAATTATAATCAGTAATTATAAAATAGACAACATTATACTTGTTGAATTCATCAAGGTTGGATAGCAAATTGAAATACTCTTCTGTAACAGACTGTTTAGGCAACCGCCCATTGAAACCCTTTTTTAACAGGCATAGGAGACATACACGAATTGCATCATCGTCCGATAACTCATTAAGTGATTGTTTAAACACCTTAATAACATCGTCTAATTTGACCGATATATTCCTTGGGATCATAGGAAAGGCACAGGAACGGAAGGCGGCGCCAGATGCAGAAGCAGGAAAATAGTCACCAAACCAGAAGTCGGTGATGAGACAAAATTCTTTCTTCCCGAAAGACAGCTCGTAACCCCCAATCTCAAAAACCATTTCATGTACTTGGCTTCGGGGGTCGGTGACAACTTCGTGGCAAAAGACGTAACTTAGAAGTAAAAGATTCCCATCTACATTAGCAATGTCTGACCACCTCCCAAAACATGTATTCCAGAACATAGTCTCGCATTCGGGTCTGTCTCTGAATGGCGCAAGAGTTTTCCCGCCGATTTTGGGTTACAAGAGAGTGTAATGGATGCATAAAAATCATGTCGTGCTGCACAAATAAAAAATGTGTTATCACTTCATTCCGAAACGAAAATGACCAATATTCCGGACCAGTTCCTCGCATTCTGGAGGCTTCCAGAATGAAATTTTAAGATTCGAAACACTACATTTCAATGTAAATTGATAATATCCAAACATCTAAACTACTATTCAGTTGGTCCTACAACAATGATGTAACGCCCGATGGTTCCAAGGTATTATTTAATTATTTAATCATTTATTTAATTGTCTAATTATGCAAGTTGTGTGGGCTTAGTGGAGTTGGGCTTTATTGAGTGGGCTTGTTGAGGCCATATGTTTGGCGTAAGCCTGGTGTACGCGGGACGTAAATGGTCCATTAAGGAACGCGGAGGCATGCACGTACCTTAGCGTACGAAGAGGTACGCGCAACGTACGTGGTCAGGAGTCAGGACCAAAAACCCTAATTTTTAGGGTGCAAGCCCTGTTTAATGTCATTACGTCCCATGAGTTAGTCTCCTTATCGCCTCTATTGTCCAGAAAAACCCTAAAATCGACCCCTTTATCATCTTGGTGTGTTCTCGACCTTGTAGAGTGCATTTTTGGTAGTTTGGTGCCTTGTAAGGAAGAATAAGAAGTTGGTGAAGGAGAGTTGTTGGAGTTTGAGCTTGAAGATCCGGATTATCTTCATCATTTGGCACTCATTTGAGGTATAAAGCTCATAACTTGCTTTGTTAATGCTTAGATCTACTTTGTTTGAGTTTTTGGGTCTTTTGGTCCTATAGATGAGATCTTGTGAGTTATTGTCATTTATGGAGCTTAGAGTTGCTACTCTTGGTGTTTATTTGGTCCTTGAGTCATAAAGTTGCCATCTTTGAGGCTTTGAATCATCCATGCACGAGTTTGGGTTCATTTTATGGAAGTAATGTTTGATATTTCGAGATTTGGTTCATTAGGGGCATGCACAGCCACCAAGTTTATGACTTTATGGTTTAAGACACTTCATATGACTCAGATCTGTGATTGGAACCCTAGGTCTTAAGGATTTAAGTGCTTATTGGGATTATGGCTTAATGAGTGAGTACGTTGGGCGTAAAAGCTAGTACGCGCTGCGTATTAGCCATGCAGCCTGTACGCTTAGCGTACAGTTGAGTACGCCTCGTGTACTCAATGGATTTGGGCTTTGCGTCCTTTGGGCCTCGAATGGGCTACTTTCATGGACTTTGTATCTTGGGCCTTAGTCGGCCATCTGGAATCGAACCTTTGGGCTAGTGAGCATAATTAGGCCTTAGGTTAAGGCCCATGTGAAGGGATTGCACCCAATTGGAAATTGGACCATATTTTGGGCCTTGTTAGATCGTATCTCTTTTAGGCCTTTGGATTGTGATTTAGGGGGTTTCATTCTTGGACCAAGTTATGTTACGGGTAAAATAGCCTTTTTACCCCAAGTAGAGATTTTTGATTAATGATGTAGATCCCATATGTTAATTAGTTGTTTTTGGCAATTGATAGCCCGGGGAGCTGTAGGACCAGCAGTCAGGGATCATTCGTTTCTTTCAGCTTTTCGAGGTGAGTTTTCCTCACCGGGTTTAGCAGGTCTAAGGCACGAAAGCCGACCCTTGATGATTATGCTGATATACTTGTTGTCTATGTGATACTTGTATGTGTTTGGTATATGTAAACTTATTTGGGTGGGGCCCGTATTGCGAGTGTGGGCGGGGCCCGTATCTCATTGGGCGGGGCCCGTTATGTGAGTGTGGGCGGGGCCCGTTATGCGAGTGTGGGTGGGGCCCGTTTATGTGATATGTGGTATATTGAGGAACTCGCTAAGCTTTGTGCTTACGGATTTTAGTTTGTGTTTCAGGTACTTCCGGTTCCAAGGGGAAGGACTCGAGTTGACTGTACCGCACACACCATGGGGATTCCGCATTTGATATTTATTCTGATTTTGATACAATTGATACATTGATTTTGTGAGATGTATCGATGACATTTGAAAATAATATTTTATCTTATTATAAAAACAAAATTTTTTGGACCATATTTTGGATGTTACAAATGATATCTTTAATTTAAATTCTGAAACATTTTCAGTTCATTCCGGAGGTGTTCTACGCATTCCGGAACAATAATTGTAGATGAATAGGCACCTTATACAAACAAGCAAACTATGTAAAGAGAAAGCGAAGAACGTACTCGTAAAATAATGGGGTCGTAGTGCTTTTCTTCGATGACGAAGTTGCGTGTCGGAGACCGAACTTGTGCGTCGGAGATCAGAATGACAATCAGAATCGAAAGTCGAAAGATCCGAAATTGTGTGTCGGAATCGGAATCGAAAGTCGGAGCAAGATCCGAAATAAATGTGCGGGTCTGGATTTTTTCAAATTATATTCCGGAATTTGAAATTCAAATTCTCGATCCGGAATAATAGGCTGGCCCACCTGAAAATTTGTCTGAAATATGTTCCGGTATACCCCATCCCGAAATAAGTGGTCATTTAAAAAATATATATATAAATTTTTAAAAAACACCAAAAAAAAAAAAAATTTAAATTACTTAATTTCCTTTTAATATAGAAATTGTATTATATCAGTAATTATCAACTTTAGTCGACAAACCAAAGTTAAGAATGGGTTATCATGCATGGTTTGAACACGATTCCCCATAATAATTGTGTATTTAAACTTTTATTTGACTAATTCATATTACGAACAATAATCCAAATGGTTGACTTTTATAAACAACAAGAAAGTTGACTTTTATGACATTCCAAGATTGTTGAGGGGTGTTAATGTAATGTTTTAAAAGTTGGAGGTCAATGTCATAACATTTATGTTTCCGTTAAGTGGGCCGAAATTCTGTGAGCGACGCGCACAAGTTATGTATGTACCCAGTCCTTAAAACGACGCGTTTCCTAAACTCGCCTTGTTTTCCTATTTTGACCTTTCTGCCCCTCACCTAGTTCGGTTACAAAATAATAACCCAATATCTAAAATACCTTTTTAATAAAAACCTGTGAATTAATATTTTATTGAAAACGTTTATTTTTTAATAAGTACGACTTTTTTCAATTTTGTTCCATCTGAAAATAAACACAAACATTTTTTGCATTATATTGATTATTTAATCATAATCAATATAAAAATACAATGTTTATTATAACTCCAGATTTATTTTAACTCCATCAATATTATCTTTATTGTAAAAATTGATAAGTATATATTTTGTGTATAAAACTTTATATATTAATAGACCAATTGAAACTTTTACTGTCTGTCCATAATGTTATTCAAATAACAAAACTTGGTATTCTGTGTCTTTTAGCTTATCATGTAAAATATTTAATTTGGATATCTATATATAGTTGTTGTTTTTTTACCTTAATTTATACATAATTACTTAATGAATTAATGTTCTGAAAACACAACTTAACGCTATTAAGGCATTAACTTTTTACATATTTGTCTTTTCTGTTTGTCTTTTACTTTTAACATCTTTCATGTTAAAACACAACTTAACGCTATTAAGACAACTAAAACGGCTTCTTGTAGAGCGATGCACAACTGCCACCCGTTAACCAGAGAAAGAGAGAGAAATCCAAAGAAAACAATTCCTTCTCACACGCAGGCTTAGGCTTTCTTTCTCTCTCTAAAAAGAAAATACTAATACACCTCACAACAGCTTTTTCCACATCCCCTATGCTCTTGCTCTAATCTTTCTACATTTCTTTCTTTTTTCCATTTGGGTTTTTGTTTCTATTCCCAAATCAAATCTTCCCGTTTCTTTGCAACGATATAGGGTTGTCTACTTCTCCGGTTTCTCTCACTCTCCACCGATAAAGAAGAATCACTCGCCTTCTTCCATTGAGATCTTACGGGTGCGAAAAAGTTCATTCATTTTTTTTATTGATTTGGGTCTACCCTCGATTGATTTGAGGGTGATCTGTTTGTTTAATCAACTGGGGGGAGTTTTAGATTTGGATGACGTCTACTTTATCAAAATATCTCGATAAAGTTTATACGATGGCAGAAGGGGGATCTCGTTATTGCTCAAAAAAATCTGACGATATCTGTGGTGATATTTGCGATGAGGTAATTTATATTCCTTTTTCTCAATTCGAATTAGTTTCTGGGTTTGATGAATGCATTGTCGGCTTGGATTTGCTGATTTCATCGTTGGTTTAGCCGTTTAGGTTTACCTTTTCGAAATCCGGACCAAATCAACTTTTAATGTTGCTTTATTTACAAATTCGGAAATTAGAATTTTCTACTTTCAAATCGTTATCGTTGAAATCGTAACCTTTTTTGTTTTCCCCCTTTCGTTTATGGTCGTTACGAGCTTCAGTCTTCTAATTGAAAATCAAACGTTTTGATTTGCAGGATTCAGGAAAGCCTTCCACCATGGCAAGATTACGATGCATTCTACGAGGACTCGAGCTCAAAACCATCATCTTCCTTTTTGTAATGGTCCCAAGCATCATCCTCGGTTTATACATCCACGGACAAAAAGTCTCCTACTTTTTACGACCCTTATGGGAGTCACCACCAAAACCCTTCCACGAAATCCCGCACTACTATCACGAAAACGTATCAATGGAAAATCTCTGCAAACTCCATGGCTGGGGCACACGAGAGTTCCCAAGGCGTGTATTTGATGCAGTATTATTCAGTAATGAAGTCGACCTTTTAACAATAAGATGGCACGAATTATACCCTTATGTCACTGAATTTGTCCTCCTTGAATCAAACTCCACATTCACAGGAATCCCAAAGCCTCTAGTGTTTGCCAGTCAACAAGATAAGTTCAAATTCGTGGCCCCACGTTTAACATATGGTCAAATTCCAGGAAGATTTCAAAAGGGTGAAAACCCTTTTGTTGAAGAAGCATACCAAAGACTTGCATTGGATTTTCTCTTGAAGAAAGCCGGGATTCAAGATGATGACTTGTTGATCATGTCAGATGTTGATGAGATTCCGAGTAGACATACGATCAATCTGTTAAGATGGTGTGATGACATCCCTCAAATTCTTCATCTTCGATTAAAAAATTACTTATATTCGTTTGAATTTCTATTGGATAACAATAGTTGGAGGGCATCTGTTCATAGATATCAATCGGGAAAAACAACGTATGCTCATTATCGACAATCTGACATAATGTTGGCGGATGCAGGGTGGCATTGTAGCTTTTGTTTTCGCCACATCAGCGAGTTCATCTTCAAAATGAAAGCTTATAGTCATGTTGATAGAGTGAGGTTCAATAAGTTTTTGAATCCTACGAGGGTTCAAAAGGTAATTTGCAAAGGGTCGGATCTTTTCGATATGCTTCCGGAAGAGTACACGTTTAAAGAAATCATCGGGAAAATGGGACCCATTCCACATTCGTATTCAGCTGTTCATCTTCCTGCACATCTTATAGAAAACGCAGATAAATACAGATTTCTTTTACCTGGGAATTGTATAAGAGAAAGTGGGTAATAATTAATGTCTTCTTCTTCTTCTTCTTCTGTGTAAAGATTTGAGCTTTGAAGTTGAAAGAGGTGGTGTCTTGCAACTTTGACCAAACAATAGTCAACTCTGGTATGTGTTTTCTTGCTATTGTTTAGTGTGGGGCCGGATGGATTGATGGAGTGTACATAGTGATGTTTGTCTTTTCGGTTGTTTATTGGTAGAAGAACAGTTGCGTTTATTTTCAGAATCTTGGCATAGTGATTTGCTGAGTTTTTGGGGGTTGGAGGTTGTGCTTTCATGGAGATGAGATTCACGGGGTTGTTTGGCAATGGTCATGAGAGATGTTTTGAGGTTTGTTTGCCTCCCCCCAGAGAGATAGTTAAGTTCAGGAAGTTTCGGGATTCTGTTGTATTAGGAAATTTTGAATCTGAGACTTATATGTTATTAATTATTATTATTATTCAAGTTTATGTTTAAGTTTTAACTTTGTATCTTGGGTTGTGTGGATTTTGAAGATGGTGGGATTCTGTTTTTAATTCATGTGGAGTGTGTGAAGTTGAATTTACATGCAAAGCACATGCTAATCATGAATTTGGATGATTAAAAGACAGTTTGGAAGTGTGTGAAAGATCTAGAAGAGCATGGAGTTTATTTATTTATGTCTGCTTGGCTTTTGGGTATTCAAGTCCTTTTATCTTTATTGGACCATTCTTAGTTTTCTTTCAAAGCTTCTTAATTTGTCAAATGTTTGGTTATTAATCAAAGAATTCTGTTAAAACCGAATGTTATGTAGCCAGTGGTGGTATACTTTTGACCTTGATCGAGTCCACGAGATCTTTTGATTCACTTTTGATCTCGATTGAATAGTGCAAACTTATACGAATCAATGGGATTTCCTAACACCAATAATCCACCATGATGACACAATTCTTGAATATTTAGACGTGACTGATAAGTCCGCACCCTTTTTTTTCATGTTCATGATTAATCTGATCAATATCTTATAAACAAACCAATAAATTAGTGGAATCTTTTGCAAATAAACATTTAAAAATAAAGTGTTGCTGAAAAGTAAATAATAAAAAGCCAATATTTTTTTTTTGGATGAAAGGTGAACCATTTCCTCCTTTCTTCTTGAAGAAGAAATCTACTTTTAACTGACGATGACGACGATTGACGACATTACTCATTATTTTTATTATTTAATTGGTTTATATTTATTAACTATTTTTTATTTACTTTATTTAATACTATTCAATAGTTTATTTCATTAGATGTCATTTTTCACTTTAGCATGTGAAATATGTTTTACTCAATCTAATTATAAAATAATTACTATATTTGTTGAAATGCACTTATAGAGTATCTCGAAAACCAAATAATGAGTTTTAAGGGTTGGCTAAGTTTTTGCTTTTTCAGATTTATGCTATATTTGACAAATTGGTTGAAAAACTAGTTGTCAACTCATAAAAGAATAACGTTAGTTGTCAGCTCATAAAAGAATAACATTATGTAAAATTTAACTGATGAGCTAGTTGAGAATGCAAAATGATATAAAAAAACATGTAAAAGAATGATTTAATATTATAAGACAAATAGGAATAATAACTTGATAAATAGGTAATTTTCAACATTTTTTAGTAAATATACCCTCCTCAAGGTCTGTCCATACGAATTCTTTTATCATAAAAAGTTCCAAACTTCAAATTTCAGTTAATTATTTATTGAATATTAATAATATTTATCATCAATAACAAAAAGTCGGAAATAAATCAAGGAAAAATAAGTCACGTAAAGTTTGATTATGAAATTTGAATATTTTTTATAATATGGTACAGGGAAATTGGAATAAGGTCAAAGAAAAGTAAATGACAAACAAATACCAGATGCGATTGCGTTTGCCAATGGATATATAATTTCTTTAAAATACAGAAACCTAAAAATTATGATATATTAGTGGTACAGTTTGCCATTCTTAGCATTCAAGGATATTAGTTATTGAAGATGTCGACTGACAAATTACACAAAAGTCTTGGACGTGTTATACCATGCCTCTTAGTGACGTCGACTATTTATTTTAATCAAAATACAAAAAAGAAGTAATAGAATAAAGCTTAATATAATTAAATGAAAAATCCAGGGATGAAATAATCTATACTTTAGTCTTGATGCAATTACAAACTAATCATTATGGTCCTACCCAAGTAGCTGCGGGTCCCATATGATCTCCATTTCTTTTGGAAGGGATGAAGTAGTACTTTTTGGAGGTGAAGGTATAGATTGGAATGTAGGCAAACAGATGGTACTTAAGTCCAAAAAGATGTCATCAAAAGGCGGATTATACTAAGAAATTGATAGTTTTCTTGTGTTGTCATCTTGCTTATGGAGATACTAGTCAAACAATTACATTAAATCTAAGGCAAACAAATGGACCTCAAATTTCACAATTCGAAGCAACGAGGAAGCATACCTTTGCAAGATGACGAATGCACAACTTTGAATTAAATAACACACATATATTTGAGAAAATGATTGAAAACATGGCGAAATATAAAAAACATAAATTAGGACAAATTTGTGATAAGTTAAAGACTTTCAGTTTTTATTTCACCAACGTTATTCTAAGACGTCTTTCTAATATAGAAAAAAAAAACATCCACATACAACATCTTTTCCATTAAGTCAATGGGAGGTTAATGATAGATCCTTGTTGAATCTATCGTAAACCCCAGGCATTCTAACAGATTCACAGCAGCAAAACACTCAATAATACCATAAAATTAAGATAGAATTCCCATTCATTCGAGAGGAATGGACTCTCCAAAAGAAGAACAAAGTTCTTTACAAATCAATTTTTAGCTAATCAAAACAAAAACCTACAGGGGATAAATACTCAACAAAACTCAGGGAAGTGGTCCCAAAACAGACCCGGGACAAGGTTAGTGCTCCCACAAAACCAAACAACCAATAATAACCATAATACCAAAAAGACCATTCTACCCCTAAGGCTAAATAGATAACGGAATGACTCTAATAAAGCAAATCAAGTAAAAGCACTCTAAGATTAGTTGGGGCTTATCAGTTAATGAAGCAGAATTATTCACATACACACAACTCACGGGTTGTAGTATTAACATGATATTCGAGATATATACTAAGGTAAACATGTTTTTTATTTAAATATATTATATTATCTAAACGTTTTCTTAGATTTCAATTGAATTCACTAGCAAGATCATGGTTTCTCCAAGGATTAATAGCATGATAATACTAATTACCAAGGTAGTAATTAGTAGGATACCAGGATGCCGATAAAGTTCATGGATCAGATTGCTTTTAGGACATCTCTTTTTTGTTAATATATGCAATTAAATTATTTTAAGGCCCAAAACCATAAAAACAAGCTAAAAGCCTTAATATAGCAAAAGCCCAAGAACTTTGAGGAGAGAACGAGGGGCCGGGAGTTGGGACACACAGCCCAATTTTATGGTGTGATGAGATGACTAATGAGCAGACCTTTTTTTTTTTTTTTTTTTTAGTTTTAGGTTCAAGAAATTAGCAAACCAATCTTGCTGCTTACCAAACATCCAACATCATCAGTTCATCACTATGCAAACATGTTGTTGAGTTTGGAATCTTGTTCACTAATAATTGAATGCACTATCAAGATAATGGTTATACTGATGATAAGAAATGCATCAGATTCTATGCTAAGATAAAAAAAATACATTACTTAATCAATACAGCTATCCCTAATTCCATATAAATAGAGCAACAAATAAGCATCAAAACCACAGAGCTAACTTCAAGAAACTTTCCATTACAAGAAAATGGTTCTCCAAACTCAGAGGTGCCCTGGAACTGCCGTCCAACACCACCATGGTCCTACCTGCCAACAGCAAAGCTATTCAACATACCAAGAAACCGGTGGCAGAATCCAGGATGGTGGCTACACCAACTTCTCAACCATAACCGGGCCCACACCTCCATACTTAAACTATTCTCAGGTGTCAACTTACTCATCGGATAATTCTCAGCACCACCAGTCCGGCGGTGGCTACCATGGATACGGTGCCCCCCAGTACTCTGGTGGTGGTGTGGTTGCTAGTGGACAGCCACATACTGGAAGATATGAAAGTTTTTATCATGGGAATTCACAGAGCCATGGGCATGGAAATGGCCCCACTTATGGTTACCAAAAAGAATCTTGGACTATCAAGGATCTTGATGACTGAATGAACAGTTAAGAAGAATCGTCTGAATGGAAGTGTGTGGTCTCAAGTTATATCTTAATAACGTGTGGACTGTTTCCTTTTACTACATATGTTATATGTGTCAAATTGCATAAGCATTGAATAATAAGTACCACCAACTCTACTGTCTATTTTAATCTGCATATAATGGTGTAGTTATTTAGTTTGACAGTGAATTTACAGTGTGGAGATTTAAAAAAAAAAAAAAAAAAAAAAAAAAAAAAAAAAAAAAAAAGATGAACCAATGCTCAAATATATCGACTTAATCTCAATATACAAGAAGAAATTGAAAGTATCAGGAGACAAGCATATGATTAATACCATGATGATATATGAGCAGAATATTGAGCATAAGATAAAGGTCAAGAGTAGGGTGTCCAAAGAGATAGACAATGTAAGCAATTTCTTGATTGCAAGACTCATGGAAATATGTATGGGATGATAAACACTTTGCATATAGCATGGCCATTTATTGATCTAGGATGGTATATGCAGGAATGTCAGGAGTGATGTTGTAGGCTTTTGGAGTCTTGTTAAGAAGAAATTCCCCATAATCAGCATGGAAGGTAAAACAATCCAAAACTGGAATTGGTCCTTTACTAGCCCAAAAGCGGTCCAAAAAAAGACTGGACTAGTTTGGAACGGTCCTTGGTCCTTAAACAGTCATACTTCTAGTTCAATGACCAGTTTAAAATCAGTAAAAATTAGTCCTAAACCGAAACTAGTTCCGGTCTTAAACTAGTTTAAAACTATACTAAAATCAGTCATAAATCAGTTTTTTTATATTATTATATATTTCAATATTATAAATTAATATCATTCATATCACATTTTTGTCTATGTTTGGTAATCATGCAAAATTAATATGTAAACATAATATATGCATTGATTAACCATGAAAGTCAACACCAAAAATTGATTAATAAAGTAAACATATAACAAAAATTAAATATCCTCCTATCTTTTGTTTCTAGTTATCTTTTTATTTCTATAAAACAATGACATGTATAATCCACTAATTTTTCTCTTATTCCCTAGTTTTTGGCAGGAAAAG